ATTTCTATGGCGTGAGCCTGAAAATAGTGTCGAAGCTTCTTCGCCGAGACTACCAATGCCAAAACCAAATTCTCCATTGGAGAGTACCTTCTCTCGGTGTCAAGCAAAGTCTTGCTTATGAAATATACAGGTCTTTGGGCTCCTGCGCTATCCCTGACCAGTGCTCCACTCATGGTGTCTTGAGATACGGATAAGTAAAGGCTAAGCACCTCCCCTGCCACCAGGACGAGTAAAATTGGAGGATGTTTCAAGTACTCCTTGATCCCCTCAAGAGCTCAACCACATTTCTCGTCCCATACCCCTTTAGCCGCCCCTTTTAACTTGGTAAAAAATGGTTTGTACTTATCGGAAGACTTTAAAATAAATAGGTTAAGGGCTGCCAACATCCCGGCCAATTTCTGAATATCCTTAACGGTCCTAGGCGCTCAGACATTCTGGATCACTTATATCTGCTCGGGGTTCACCTCGATACCCCGGTGAGTAACCAAATATCCCAAAAACTTTCTTGAGCTCACCCCAAAAGCGCATTTTGAGGCGTTTAGTTTCAGGTCATACTTCCGGAGGATGGCGAATGTCGTCCCGAGATTATAAAGATGATCGATGCTCTCTTTGCTCTTGACCAACATATCATCAATTTATACCTCCATGGTTTTGCTGAACAAGTCTTTGAAAATTTTATTCATCAAATGTTGGTAAGTCGCATCCGCATTCTTCAACCCAAAAGGCATCACCGTGTAACAGTAGATCCCTCGGGGCGTACTGAACGGCATTTTCTCCTAATCCGATTCATGTAAGAGAATCTGGTGATATCCCGCCCAAGCATCCATAAAGATGATTCGTTTGTGGCCGGCTGTTGCATCTACCAGCTGATCAATCTTGGGCAATGAGTACTCATCCTTGGGGCAGGCCTTGTTCAGGTCCGTGAATTCCATGCAAACTCACCATTTTCCCTCTTTCTTCTTGGTGCACACGGTGTTGGATAACCACTGAGGGAACTATACCTCCCTGATGGAACCTGCCCCCAACAACTTATCCATATCTTCATCTACAGTCTTTGCATGATGAGGCATCGTTCTTCGAGCATTCTGCCTAACGGGTTTGAACGAGGGATTCACATGTAGCCGATGAGTCATCACCTTGGCGCTTATCCCCGTCATCTCGGCTTGCTTCCATGCAAAGACATCGACATTATAGCGTAGGAATGAGGCCATATCATTTTTCTCTGCGTCGTTGAGTGACTCTCCTATCAAAAAGTACTTCTCATCGTTATCTGGGCTCAGGAGGATCTTGGTCAAGACCTCAGTGGATCGGTCAACTGGTTCAGTAATGGGCTCGTCCACCCCCGGCCGCCCATTCTGTGATTGCTATTTGATAACCACCGCATCAGGATCACGTTCCTGACTTCGGCCACTAACTTTGGTCTTCACCGTGGCATCAAAACAGTTTTTCTCCGATGCCTGATCACCCCAAAATTTCATTATGTCTTGCGGTGTTGGAAATTTTATCTTTCTGGTGATAGGATGAGTGGACTGCCTTTATCGCATGCAACCATGACCTTCCCATAATAGCGTTGTATGAGGAGTCAAAATTTACTACCACAAATTCCACTGGGGTGATCACCACCCCCGCACGTACCATGAGGGTAATCTTTCCAAGAGGGAGGGCGCTGGAACTATTGAAGCCAATGAGGGGGTCTTTATGGGTTCCAGATCCCCTTGCGAGAATTCCATTTTGCAGAAGAGATGATCATACATCACCTCGGAAGAATTGCCTGAGTCTACCAAGATTCTCTTGACATCGAATTTTTCAACCCGCAAAATGATCACCAATGCCTCTTTGTGGGGAAGAACCACCCCTTCGAGGTCAGCATCGAAAAATTGGATAACCTCGGCACCACCTCGCAGCTTCTTGAGAGGTTGCTCCTCACCCCTTTCATCCACCCTGACTACTTGAGAGACCTTCTGTAACTCGGCGCGAAGGGAGTTGTATGTAGGCCTTTCCACGGTGCAAGCATGAATAACACCAATCACGAGGGTCACCTCAGCTGACACTTCGGCTCGTTCCCTTGCTGATCCTTGGGAGGGACCCCTATCAATGAACTCCCTGAGATGTCCGTCTTACACTAGTTGTTCGAGCAAAGCTTTATAAACCTTGCAATCCTTTGTCATATGGCCTATATCTTTGTGATACGAATAACAAAAGGCAGCATTCCTTGTTGATGGATCTCCTATCATCCTCGAGGGCCATTTAAAGTATGATTTATTTTTAATCTTGGGAAACATCCTGTAAATGGGCTCTTTGAAGACCGTGTTCACCCCCTAGAAGGACAGACGAGTTGGGGGTGGAACATGCCCTCCCCTTCGGGCCGACAATTCCCTCTCTCATTTTCTCAACACCGGAACTCTACTCTCGGGAGCGTTGGATTCTTCCTCCACTCGGGCATGTTTGTTGATCCAGGCTATTAATTCTTTCATGTCCATTTGAGTCTTCTTGGTCAGCAATTTGTACAAATCAGTGTCCCTGGACAGCCCCAGCCTGAATGATGCCGCGACCAATGCCTCCGAACACGCCTCCACCTCGTTAACTTCATCCCAATACCGGATGACATATTGTTAAAGTGTCTCTCCTCCCTTTCGCCTAAGCATTAACACAGCACTAATGTCTTTCAGTTTCTTATTGCTGGTGATGAATCGAGCTACGAAGAGCTCCATCAATTATTTGCAGGACCTAATGCTCTCAGGAGCCAGGTTCTCATACCATCTCATGCCTGTGTCCTATAGACTCATGGAAAAAACTCGACACAACACCCTTTGGTCAGTATCGTAGATGGACATCAATTGTTTGTATTGTCGCAAGTGACTTTCGGGATCGGTCTTCCCATCGTAGATTTTAAACCGTGGGATAGTGAACTTCTTCGATATTTCGGCCTCCTTAATAGTCCGAATGAATGGTAACATGACTTCGTCGGCATAGACCTCGGGCTCATGGTTGCGATAAGCAGCTAGGTGGACCCTGGGATCCCCTTTTGGTCCTCCTTCTTGAGGCCTCCTGGGTGTGGACTCCGCTTGTGATTCGACGATTTCGATGTCCTCAGGTATCCCTCGGCGGAGGTTCCACCGAGACAGACTTGCCTCTTGGCCCGATTCTGACTTCCCTTTGGTGGCCGAGAACCCACCTTGGCGATTACGTCCCTCGGGTGAGTGCCTAGGCCAATCTTTCCTCGAGGGCCTATGCCAGGGAGGCCTGGAAAGGTCTATGCCCGCCGCGCGCTTGTTGACTGCTCAAAATCGTCGAGCTGTCGTCGGACCTTGGCGTTTTTCTTCTCAAGCTGCTTAATGTGTTTGCCCATCCACTTTTCCACCATCTCCACGATATCACGAGCCATTAGGTCATGCCCCCCAAGGCCCTGATCTATAGGGAGTGTTTGTTGCGAGGAATGCTCCCCTCCACCTGATTGGCTCAACGGACCTGGTTCCAAAACCATTGAAAGCCGGACGGGCTCTGCGTTCCTCACACACGCACTTGCTCCTTCACCCTAAGATCAGGTGTTCACCATCAGACGATCGCTACCAGAAAAGATGTTCTCGTTCCCACAGCCTGTGCCAAATTGTACGGGATAATTCTTACAATAGTTCGAGATAGCGATCTCCAAGCCAGCGAACCTAAAACAATAGGGTCAGAAAAAGGGCGCTAGATGAACACCCGGCTTATCCCCTCTGAACTTTAAGTCAGTCTAAGCTTGAAGACTTTAGCTCAATGAACAATCTTTTTCTAGTTCAAGTTTGCATACCTTTGTTCATTTTTCTGAAGAGTATTTATACCTGAATTAACAATGATTGCCAAAGACCTCCAATCCCATCTGGACATCCAACATTTGACACATCATTTCTCGCGTAATGAGTGTCTTCCACTCACGTCTCCTCCCACTAAATGCTAGGACGATGGGATGAGTGCTCGACATTTATGCCCTTCTCTGAGTATCCAAATCCCTCAGATCGGCATCTGACATCAACTGAGTATTGAATACTCGAGGAAAAAATTCCTCGAGGAGAGCCGATTACGTCATCTCAGCACATCAGCCATCAATGCTTAGACATCATGATAGTAGGCCTAAACTCGCAGAGTGCAGGTGCTTGCAGACACGCATTTATTTGTCTTGTCACCATCACTCATTCCGTCATATATGAGGGGTCACATCGTATTAAATACGATGTCAACTATCAGACTCGACTGCTCCGGATCACCATATCTCGGCGCCTTTTGGACATCACAACGACTTCATTATTCCACGTGTTAATCTGGGACTGTAGAGCCACCTAGAGTCCTGTCAATATATTACAATGTTTTCTTATAATATATTCTATTTCGAAAGAGGGTTTTCACATGTGTTATAAATAACACGATTTTCATATAAATATTGAAGAGATTTGAATTTATTCTTCTGCCACCCTTGACATTTGAGTTTAGGTCCTGACACGTGCTTCTTTATAACTCTTATGTTAGCTTGAGGACATAGCTATAGTCACCCGTTAGTTTTTAACCATTCATATACATAAGTAAATAATATTGCATAGCAGTTAGGGCCCCGCACTCACATATACACCGAGAGACACACAGAAATTCACGTGAAGCTAAATGAGCTAAGAGTGAGATACCAAATCAAAATGAAAACCCAAATAAAAACTGGACTCTACCTTTAAAAACCTTCTTTTTACAGGTACATTTAGGTTTTGGATTTGGCATGACCCACTACACCATACACTACAAAATAGCAAACAGTAAAAGGTATGCATATCTTACAGTATATCTAAAACTTTTGTATGTGCTTACTTTTTCTTGTCGTGTTGAGGGTTAAAATGTCCTTACTTACGCTATTGTACCCAAAAAAATACCTTTTAATCATAGATTTTTATTTGAATAATTTGTAATCAATAATCATAAAATAATAAAATAATAAACTTTTCACATGACACATTATAATTTGAACTAATAAAACGAGTATGATAGGTGGATACCGAAAAGTAAATTTTCGGTACCATATGCTCTTATTCATTCTCTATATATTACAAGGGATTGGCCTTCCACTTTGTGACATTGCTAGAGCTTTCTGTTGGAAATAAATGGCAGAAAGCTCATCAGTTGCAGAGACACACACTTATGAGTTTGATCATGAACCCTCCTCCTCTTCTTCTTCTTCTTCAATGAAGCTCTTTGGTTTTCCAGTGACTGCCTGTGACAAATCCCCTGTAACAGTCCACCATGATCTTGACAACAAAAAATTTGAGTGTCAATATTGTCACCGTGGATTCCTGAATTCTCAAGCATTGGGTGGCCATCAGAACGCACACAAGAAGGAACGGCTAAGAGCGAAGAGGGCCCAGTTGATGGCTGATCATCATAATCGACGGTTCAGAGCGCCTGTTCCGATTGTCAGTGCACATGCAGTTCCATCAGGACCGTTCATTTGGTCCAGTGGACCTACAAGTATTAGTGCCTATGGTGCACGGTTCAGGACACCACCTGAGTTCTGTGCATATCCACCACAAGCATTGTTGTCAAGGGAAACTTTGAGTTTTCCTGATAGAGTCCATATCGGACGACCATATCAGCTTGCTGATGTGGGCCCAGATGATGGGGGGTTCTCAAGATCAGCGAGGAGTTCAGAAATGGACGATGGAGTGGACGTTGATCTTCATCTATGATTTGCACCACCCTTAACCTTGTGAGAAGCCGAGATACATGGTATCATACAAAATGGCAAAAGTTTTGGTCTAAAACCCTTTCTGATCGAACCAAGGCTTCTCTTTTTCTTTTTTCTTTTTTCCATCCTTTTTTTAATGCCAATTTTCTTTTGGACGATCAATTAGGTTTTTGTGTTAGAATTAGGGGTAATTTATAATTTATCCTTAAAGTATGTACATAATTTTAATTTGGTCCCTAAAATTTTAATTAATACAATTATATCCTTAAAATTTTAACCGAATTTCAATCTAATCTTTCCATTTATATCTGAAGACATGATAAGACTTGCCCTTTAGAATATGTTTGTTCTCTAAAAAATCTCTTTCTCAAAAACATTGATATTTTTCTCCTTTTCTCACAATGCCTCTCAAACTCTCTCATTCAATATATGTATTTTTTTTTTTTTTGGTTTGTTATCCTTTTTATCTCAAAATTAGATGAAATAAAGTAAAATTGTATAGCCTAAATGTAACAAATTTTGCATCAAACAAATATACTTCTTTGTCCAAGTCATGTGTTAGTCATGAAAGACTATTCTATCATAATAAATTGGTTAATATTGATGTAAGGACTACATTAAATCTCAATTAAAACTATGAAGACTTGATTGTTGCAATTGAAACTTCAAGGATCAAATAATAATTTTTAAGGGTATAATTTATAATTTACCTAGAATTATAGGTGGGTTGAATGTGATTGTGTGCCTGTTGGCTTTTAGCCATACAATTATTGATATAAGTTGTAGACCATATAGCGATGGGTTTCTCCTATTGCATGATGGGATTTGTCCCGGGACTGTATACAAGTCTAATAATATACCATGGCAAACAACAAGTTTTGCAAGATTACCAAACTTATTCCTCTCTAAATCGGCCGACTGGGTTTGCAAATTTGTCACATATGAAATAGTGTTTGATGGTATTGATTTTCTATTATCGATGGAAAGCGGGACTTGGGTCTGTTATACAATAGAAAAGGGATGACATTGTTTTTGAGAAGTAAAGGATATGCTCCAAACAAATACATCATGATGGTAGATGACATTGTTTGTGACAGCAGGGTCGGCCCTAGGCATAGGCCACTTAGGTGGCTGCCAGGNCAAACAAATACATCATGATGGTAGATGACATTGTTTGTGACAGCAGGGTCGGCCCTAGGCATAGGCCACTTAGGTGGCTGCCAGGCCCCAATATTTTGGGCCCTTAGTTGAAGACCTTTTATTCTATGGTGGTTTAAACTCAAATGGCCTAATAAAATTATAAAAGGAGTAAATTGTAAGGGATACACTAAATTAAATTTATTTGACAAAAAATACATACTAAAAAATGTAGAGTTATTAAGTACTTAATTTTGATACATATATATATATATATATATATATTTACATAAATTCATTGAATTATCTTTTAATACATCTTGATTCATGCATCTTTTTTTAGAAAGTGGTTTTATTTTCAAATTATTTAATATCTAAATAATGTAACAATAAAAGTGTAACAGTGTAACACTAATAATGTAACAGTATAAAAATAATAGTATAACAAACTATTTATACAAAATATTGTACTATTACATTTTGTCAAACATATAATTTGATTTAAAATAGTTCATCTCCGTTTTAAATTTATTACCATATACACAAAACTACTGAACACTGCTTTTGTTACAATGTATTTGTTACACTATCTTTGTTACAGTGTATTTGCGTTACACTGTTATTGTTATACTATTACATTATTCGGATATTAAATTAATTTAAAAATAAAACTATTTTCCAAAAAAAAAATGTTTGAATCAAGGTGCATTAAATATAATTTGAAAACAAAATCACTTTTAAAAATAAAAGACGCATGAATCAAGGTGTATTAAAGATAATTCAAAATTTAAATAAGAGATTTAAAAACAAATATATATATATATATATATATATATATATATATATATATATATATATATTAACAAACACATATGAATCAAGGTGCATTAAATATGTATTTATATGTATTAATAAATACACATTAGTCAAGATGTATTAAAGANATAAATATATATATATATATATATATATATATAAACACACATGAATCAAGGTGCATTAAATATGTATTTATATGTATTAACAAACACACATGAGTCAAGGTACATTAAAGATAAGAGATTTTAAATTAAATGATTCTAAAATATACATTTATGTCTTTTTAACTCACATTTTATTCTATATATTTTTTGCTAAATAAGTCTAATAAGGTGTAGCGGCTTTTAAATAACCTTTATAAAAGAGATTTCTATCATTACATAACACAATGGCCCATTGCAAAAAGAGGGTCCAACAATTGTTTTATTACTTTAATAATCTCTCCAATAGTCAGATCGAGTCTCTTTTTAATGTATCAGACATTAGACATAAAAAAAAGGATAAATTACATTCAAACCCCTTAAAGTTTGTCACTTAATCAAATGGACCCCCTCAGGTATGAAAAACAACATTGAGATCCCTCAAGGTTTGGTCAGTTGTGACATATTGGCCCCTGGCATTAAATTCCGTTTAACGAGTCATCCATTTCTAATGATATTAGCACAATTTGTAAACAAAATTCCTATTTTACCCTGTGCATATTATTCTTCTTCCACTCACAGTGCTAAACACCCAAAAAATATTTACAAAAATTTATATAAAGTAAGAAAATTTTGGGGAGGTTAGAGACGGGAAAGAGAGGGATGATGATGGTGGTATGAGAGAGACAGAGGGAGAGTGTGGGGGAGATATGGGGATGTCGCGAAGGAAGGTACAAGAAATCAAGACCAAAGGTATGAGGACTTCCAAAGAAAAAACCATCATGTATTTTCTCTTCCACCGAAATTCCGATCTCTCGTCGACTCCTCTGAGATCAAATGGGACGACAAAGGCAATGTGATAGAGAACTACAAGTTATTCAGCGAGATTTGTAAACCCACAAGTCTCGAATGCATTCCTTATGTAAAGTCGCCTTTCTCTCAACCCACTTAATCTAAACCCAACAGATTAAAAGCCACCTTCACCTTTAGATTTGTAGATGGAAGATGAATTTGACCATATATTATAGATTCAAGATGAGTTTGATGAGATTTGTAGATCTTTGGGGCTTTTCAGATCTAAGATTTTTGGATTTTGGGGCTCTTACATGTTCATCAAACCTTTTGATGGCCTACCAGTCTCTCTCATTTGGGTATTGTGATGGGTTGTATTTGACCCAATGTTATCAGAACCGGACCGATCATCGAACCGGCAAGGGGACCGGGTCAATGGTTCACTGGTTCAACCGTTGGGTCAACTGGTCGGATCGATCATATAATAAAAAAATATATATAATAATTATAAAACTTAATAATTTAGCTAAAAAATATAAAATATGTATAAAATACATAAAATTTGTCATAAAATTAATGAAATTAAGTAACAAAATGGGAGTTATTGTATTTTAAAGTAAAGTAAAGAGGTTCAAGTAAATTATAAATAAAAAGAAGGGGTGTCATTTATAATTTTTTAAAGAATAAGGTTAAAAAAAATCAACTATTTACTGATTTAGGACAAAAAAATTTATTTATGCAATTTAATTTTTAAAAATTAATTTTTTGTTAAAAATCGGCCGATTTTCCAGTTTTTAGCCGGTTCACTTCTTTAAACGGTTCAACTAAAGAACCGGACCGGTTAGGATCCCGATTCATGGTTGAACCGGTCCGACTGGCCCAACCGATCTGATCCGATTCTGATAACACTGATTTGACCTATTGGTGCTCTGTAGTGTTGCAAAACTGAGTGAGTTTTTTTAACGATGGTGTCGGCACATTACTGAGGCAATGGTGTCAGTGGTATGGTGAGGAAAGACATATTTTTAGGTTTCGGGTTGCTAGGTTTTTTTTTGGATAAAAGGTAAAATAGTAATTTCATCATTAGTAGGGGGTGACAGTGTTATTTTTTATACCTGAGGGGGTCCATCTTATTAAGTGACAAATTTCAGGGGGTCTGAATAAAATTTACCCAAAAAAAAAATTATCAGCATGAAAAATATTCTTAAATAGAAATCATACTATTTCTTTAATCTAATATAGGTTTAAAATATTAAAAATACATAAAATATTTTTGACTCTTAATTTAGTTTTAAAAGATTAAATTCTTTAGTGATGAAAGTTTTGAAAAAATATGATCTTAAACTTAAATTTTTTTTCAATCGTGACTTATTTTATAGTTTAATTTATTTTTACGAAAAACTCTTAAGAACTTTCATATGTAGAAACTATACATGAGAACAACGACATAATGATACATAAAAAGATTATATTCTTTTTCAAATGCTTTCATTACTTATTGAATATTGTAAATAATGTCATTATGAGCTTATTCTACTTGAAGAAAATTTTTTGAATTATAAATTGATAAAATTTTATCTACAATCAATTATGTTATCAGAAAAAGTGAAAAGATTCGTTATATTATCTATTNTTGGGCTCTTACATGTTCATCAAACCCTTTGATGGCCTACCAGTCTCTCTCATTTGGGTATTGTGATGGGTTGTATTTGACCCAATGTTATCAGAACCGGACCGGTCATCGAACCGGCAAGGGGACCGGGTCAATAGTTCACTGGTTCAACCGTTGGGTCAACTGGTCGGACCGGTCATATAATAAAAAAATAAAAAAATATATATAATAATTATAAAACTTAATAATTTAGCTAAAAAATATAAAATATGTATAAAATACATAAAATTTGTCATAAAATTAATGAAATTAAGTAACAAAATGGGAGTTATTGTATTTTAAAGTAAAGTAAAGAGGTTCAAGTAAATTATAAATAAAAAGAAGGGGTGTCATTTATAATTTTTTAAAGAATAAGGTTAAAAAAAATCAACTATTTACTGATTTAGGACAAAAAAATTTATTTANTAAAGAATAAGGTTAAAAAAAATCAACTATTTACTA